TCTCTTCTGCCTGTCAACGGGGCAGTAGCAGCATGCTACAGCATCCATTCCCCCTTCAGGGACACGCTAGAGCATCCGACCCCACTACTGTGCCCCCATGTTGTCAGCTACAGCTAGGGATGTCCTCTGTCGACTGTCCACCTACCTGGAAGAACTCGAGGCTGGGGAACTGAAGAAATTCAAATTATACGTGGGCACTGCCGAGGAACTGGGCCAGGACAAGATCCCCTGGGGACGAATGGAGATGGCCGGTCCTCTGGACATGGCCCAGCTGATGGTGGCCCACATGGGGACAAAGGAGGCTTGGCTGCTGGCTCTCAGCACCTTTGAGAGGATCCACAGGAAGGACCTGTGGGAGCGAGGACAGAGAGAAGACCTGGTGAAGGGTAAGGAGACGGAGGGAGAGCCCAGCCTGGAACACATCCATTCTCTTAGCTTTACAATGTCTGCGAACTGGATTCAGATTTCAGCCAGGCTGACTTCTGCTCACAGAGCCCCTCTTCTTTCTTCTGTGTGCTTGCGTGCTGCATGTGTGTGTGCGTGTGTGCATGTGACAATTGGCAAAAATCTGTTGTCTCTTTCTACCAAGTGGGTCCCAGGGTCAAATTCAGGTCCTCAGGCTTGGCCTTGTCTCTGACTGTAATCATGATATGTTCGTCCTTCCTTCCTTTTCAAGACAGAATTTCTGTGTTGCAGCTCTGAATATCCTGGAACTCCCAGAAATTTACCTCCCTCTGCCACCACCACCCTGTCATGACATTTTCATACGTGTACATGATGTACTTTGTTCACACTCACCCCTTATTACTCTATACTCTATTCTCTCTCTCTCTCTCTCTCTCTCTCTCTCTCTCTCTCTCTCTCTCTCTCTTTCTTCCTCGAGACAGGGTTTCTCTGTATTGCTGCTTTGGAGCCTGTCCTAGAACTCGCTCTGTAGACCAGGCTGGCCCTGAACTCACAGAGATCCTCCTGCCTCTGCCTCTGCCTCCCCAGTGCTGGGATTAAAGGCATGCACCAACGCTGGGCTCCTTCCCACTCTTGCTGATCCCTTCTTCTCCCAAATAGTCCTCTTCTTACTTTGATGTCTTTTTAAAAAATATGTATGGCCAGGCAATGGTAGCGCTTGCCTTTAGTCCCAGCACTGGGGACTTTGCTTGCATTCTGACCTTCCCCATCATCTAATACTAACCGCTCTTGATCTCTGAGATATTCTATGTTATACTATTATTCCCATACTTACAGCTGTGCGAGCAAACACACACACACACACACACACACATACACACATGCATGCATGCATGCATGCATGCATACATTATGGACTAGGACCCACTTATGAGGGAGAACATGCAATTTTTTTCTTTCTGATATCTAAATAAAATAAATCTATTAATATTATACAATATAACATTATAATATATACACATTGTGATTATAATATGTATTATATATCATATTACATTATACAGACATTATGATATAATATATATGTACATATTATAATACAATATAGTATTGTAATCCATCAGTTTTCCAAGGTTATCTTCAGACCTTCACATATGCTCTGGGGTATGCAAGCTCACCCCCACAAAAATTTAAAAACAAATATAATATATAATATGAATGTAATATATATATGTATATATTAATATATCAAGCTAGGTGTGTTGTGTGTTGGTGTCTACTTGAGAGAGGCAGATGGACCTCTGTGAGTTCGAGATTAGCCTAGTCTATATAGCAAGTTCAGCCTAGCAAGGCTACATAATGGGACCCTGTCTCAGAAAAAAAGGGGGGGGACTTAAATTATATACCTGCATAAGAAGAAAAGTATCTTTTGTTTTGTTTTTTTTTTTGGTTTTTCGAGACAGGGTTTCTCTGTGGCTTTGGAGGCTGCCCTGGAACTAGCTCCTATAGACCAGGCTGGCATCAAACTCACAGAAATCTGCCTGCCTCTGCCTCCCCGGAGCTGGGATCAAAGGCATGCGCCACCAACGCCCAGCTGAAAAGTATCGCTTATGTATATAAAAGATTTGCTTATTTATATTTATTTATTTGTACGTGTGGAAGTTTGAGATGGTGTCTTTTTGTATGCTCCAGGCTGGCCTTGAAATCCCCATGTAATCAAGGATGGCTTGAAATCCTAGACTTTGTCTCTACTTCCTAAGAGCTAGAATCTATGCACACACACACACACACACACACACACACACACTAAAGAAAATTATTTCCTAGCTACTCCCCAAAATATCTTACCCTAGGCACAATTCCGTTTCTTCACCTCACTTGACTTTGGACCTTCCTCTCCTCACTCAGTGTGTGAAACCATGCTGTTTATTTCTCACATGTTGCTCTCTCCATACCATCAGACTGCCCATTTCTATTGCAGCACAGTGAGGTGAGTGAGTGCTCACTGTCTGGCATGGGAGGGCAGGAATTACAAAGGAGGCATCTATTTTGATGCAAAAGCCAGTGTCAGGCCTGGAGGTGTAGGTGGTGGGGGTCGGGGGAAGCGTTGCTCAGCATGCTCAAGGCCCTGGGTTTGAAAGAATAAAACATAATACAATACTGAGAATACTGAGTGCTAACTGACCTCCCAAAATGTCTCTTCCAGTCACTCCGAATAATGACCCATGCTCCCTTGAGAGCCAATCAGCTTGCCTTCTGGATGTCTCTCCCAGTGCGCTAAGGAAAGGTGAGCTACAAGCCCTGCACATATGAGGGTGTACTGGCTGCACATAAGCAACTACTCGTTAGAAGGCAGGTGAATCGGAAATACATATGTGATATATATGTATTAAAATATGTGTATAATAAAAATGCATATATATGTGTGTGTGTGTGTTGATGGTACCTCTCTATACAGCCCTGGCTGTTCTAAAATTCAACTATGTAGGCCAGAGAGATTCAACTGCCTCTGCCTCCTGAGTGCTGGGACTAAAGGTGTGTGCCGCCGCACCCAGCCAGAAACAGTATTTAATGTTGGTATATGTCAAGGAGTCCTAGGTGAAGAGCTGCAGAGTTTATGTGGTAGATATACATCAAAGACTTTCTTCTTTTAAAATCATTTACACTTTTAAAATATCTATTTGTTTTTATTTAATATGCATGACTGTTTATATGGGCACCACCTTCATGCCCGATGAGCCAGAAGGCGGCCTTGGATCTCCTAGAACTGGAGTGTTAGGTGGTTGTGAGCTGTGGTATAGATGCTGGGAACCAAACCTGGGGCCTTTGCAAGAGCATCAAATGTTCTTAACCACTGAACCACCTCTCCAGTCCCTTTAAAAAGACAAGGGAACTTACTTTGTTTGCATGGGGATGAGGGGTATGCCATGGTGCATGCGTGAAACTTGGAGGACAATTTGAAGGAATCAGTTCTCCCGTTCCATGTGAGTCCTGGGGATTGAACTCAGGTTGGCAAGCACCTACACTGGCTGAGACTTCTTGGCCCAACTTTGTTGATTCAATCAACCTCTCTACATCAGCCATTTGTCATACAGCCTTTTGGTTTGTTTTCTAGCTTGGAATCTCTCATGTAGCTGAGGCTAGACTTGAACTCCTGACCCTCACTCCCTACCTCTAACAGGTTCTTATCTTAAGTTTTAAGACTTGCCACTTCCTGGATGTGAGATAGCTACCAAACTACCTCTCACAAGTGAGTCACAGTCTAAGAAGAGAGGCAGTGAGCTCAAACCTGTAATCTCTTTTTTTCAGCAGGCTAAAACAGGTAGATTGAGCTGGGCAGTGGTGGCACACATCTTTAATCCCAGCACTCAGGAAGCAGAGGCTGCTGGATCTCTGGAGGCCACCCTGATCCACAGAGCTCTAGGACAGTCAAGGCTACACAGGGAAGCCTTGTCTGGGGGGCTGCAGGGATGGGAGACTGAGTCATAGCAAGTTTACACTCAGTTTGAGCTTCATATCGAGGTCTTCAGGAAGAGCAATATACACCTGCAAACTGCTAGATCATCTCTCCAGCCCCACCCCTACTCCATGAACCCTGAAGCCCCACCCCACCCCACCCCTGCTCAACTGCTAGGGAGTTCCACTGAACAGTCTCTTCTCCAGCAATTAGTCTCTATTTGTGAACCTTGGGGCTTTCTCAGCTTTACAAGCCTTATAAATTTCATGCACTTCTTGATCCTAGTGGCATTAGCTCCTGGGGTTTTATGAGCCTCTCTCCAGGAATAAGTGTTTCAAGGCAGAGAAATCCATCACTTGAGTCTTGTGAGCCTCTCTCGGGGAACACTCTATTTAAGTCAGAAGAATCAGTCGATGCACAACAGATGTACTCACACAGCTATACCTGAATGCCTCGGCTTCCTGGGAGAAGGTTGTTAGACTGTTCCTAACAACCGTTCTGAGGACCTGTTGGGACAAGTAGGCATTAGACCATGCTCACCAGTCCCTGAATTCATTGTAAATTGCTGATGACATCTGGGGGTGATGGCCTACCCCAGTAATCCCAGGGCTTGGGGGTGGGGGAGCCTGAGGTAGGGGAATCAACAAAAATTAGAATCCAGCCTGAGCTACAGGGCAAAGCTGTGGTGAAAGGAACGAAGGAAGGAAGGAAGGAAGGAAGGAAGGAAGGAAGGAAGAGAAAAAGCAGACTGGGCCAGTCAGTGGTGGTGCATGTTTTAATCCCAGCACTTGGAAAGCAGAGGCAGGCCAGTATCTGCGACTTCCAGGACAACCAGAGCTGTTTTACAGAGAAAACCTGTCTAGAAAAAAAACAAAAAACTAAAACTTAAACTAAATTAAAAATAAATAAAATCTTTTCCCCAAATTTGCTAATGGATATGTTACAGAGCTTTCCTTTCTCTCTACTAGATCCTCAGGCAACCTACAAAGACTATGTTCGCAGGAAATTCCGACTAATGGAAGACCGCAATGCACGACTAGGAGAATGTGTCAACTTGAGCCACCGTTACACACGGCCTCTCTTAGTAAAGGAGCATTCAAATCCTATCTGGGCCCAGCAGAAACTCTTGGATACAGGATGGGGACACGCCAGGGCCAGGGCCCACCAGGCTAGTCCTATTCAAATGGAGACCCTCTTTGAGCCGGACGAAGAGCGCCCTGAGCCACCAGGCACAGTGGTGTTACAAGGGGCAGCAGGAATGGGGAAGTCCATGCTGGCCCAGAAAGTGATGTTGGACTGGGCCGACGGGAGGCTCTTCCAAGACCGGTTCGATTATGTCTTCTATATCAGCTGCAGGGAGTTGAACAGAAGCCATGTCCAATGCAGCGCACGCGACCTCATGTCCAGCTGCTGGCCGGAGCCTGGCGCACCCCTCCAGGACCTCATCCGGGCTCCTAACCGCCTCCTATTCATCATTGATGGCTTTGATGAGCTTCATCCTTCTTTCCATGATGCTCAGGGTCCCTGGTGCCTGTGTTGGGAGGAGAAACGACCCACAGAACTCCTCCTCGGCAGCCTGATTCGGAAGTCGATTCTTCCCCAACTCTCTTTGCTCATCACCACACGACCCAGTGCCCTGGAGAAGCTACGTGGCTTGCTGGAACACCCCCGGCACGTGGAGATCCTGGGCTTCTCCGAGGCAGAGAGGAAAGAGTACTTCTACAGGTATTTCCATAACACTGGCCAAGCGAACCAAGTGTTCAGCTTCATGATGGACAATGAGCCCCTCTTTACCATGTGTTTTGTTCCCATGGTGTCCTGGGTGGTCTGTACCTGCTTCAAGCAGCAGCTGGAAAGTGGGGAGCTTTTAAGACAAACATATAGGACCACCACGGCGGTTTACATGTTCTACCTTCTGAGTCTGATGCAGCCAAAGCCAGGGACCCCAACATTCAAGGTCCCAGCCAGTCAGAGAGGCCTGATCTCGCTGGCTGCAGAGGGCCTCTGGAACCAGAAGATCCTATTTGAGGAGCAGGACCTTGGTAAACACAGCCTGGATGGAGCAGACGTCTCCACCTTCCTCAACGTGAACATCTTCCAGAAGGACATCAAGTGCGAGAAATTCTACAGCTTCATCCACCTGAGCTTCCAGGAATTCTTCGCAGCCATGTACTGTGCCCTGCATGGCAGGGATACAGTGAGGAGAGCGCTGGCTGAGTATGGCTTCTCAGAAAGGAACTTCTTGGCGCTCACCGTCCGCTTCCTGTTCGGTCTCCTCAACGAGGAGATGAGATGTTACCTGGAGAAGAATCTAGGCTGGACCATCTCACCCCAAGTCAAGGAGGAAGTGTTAGCTTGGATCGGAGACAAGGCTCGTAGCGAAGGATCCACCCTGCAGCGAGGCTCCCTGGAACTCCTCAGCTGCCTGTATGAGGTTCAAGAGGAAGACTTCATCCAGCGGGCCCTGAGCCACTTCCAAGTGGTTGTGGTCGGCAACATCGCAACCAAGATGGAGCACATTGTATGCTCATTTTGCGTGAGGTACTGCAGGAGCGCGGTGGTGCTCCATTTGTACGGGAGTGCCTACAGTGCAGGCGCAGAGCGGGACCAGCCACAGCCAGAACCTTCCGGAGCACCATCTGAACACTTGTAAGTATCCTTCGGGAACAGTGTTTCTGATCGCATGCCCTTGATCAGTGATCTGGGGGGAGGGGCAGGAACTTTGATTTTGCTTGTTTTCCTTTTTAAGGTTTTATTAGTCGTGGTGCTAAGCATCTTTAATCCCAGCTCTTGGGAGACAGACTTCTGTGAGTTCAAGGCCAGCCTGGTCTGTTACTTGCAGTTTTCCCACCAGCCTGGTCCCACAGCCAAGTCAGTCCCAAATAACACACAGAGACACTGTATTAGATATAAAGCTGTTGGCCAGTTACTAGCCTTTCTTATTGGCTAGCTCTGTCTTAAATATTAACCAATTTCTACCAATCTAAGTATTTCCACGTGGTCTTATCTTACCGGAGAGAGGGTCTGGACCTCTGCTCTCTCAAGTCTCTACAGCTTGAATCTCCTACCTCTCCTCAATCCTCCTTATCTCCTAGTCCCACCTATCTTGCTTTCCTATTGGCCAATAGGGCTTTATTCATTAACCAATAAGAGAAACATTTACAGAATAACATCTCCCATCACTGGTCTACAAAGAGTTCCAGAGTCCCAGGACAGCCAGGGTTGATACATATTGAAACCCTGTCTTGAATCAAACAACAAAAATCAATCATTCAGAGGGCTGGTGACATGACTCAGTGGTTAACACTTGGGTTCAATTCCCAGCACCCACATAGCAGCTCACAACTGTCTGCAACCCCAGGATCTAATACCCTCACACAGACATACATGCAGGGAAAATAATACACAAAAAATAAAAGTAAATAAAAGGATTTTTATCTCTTATACATTTTTTTTTTTAAAATTAGGTTTTTCTGTATAGCCTTGGCTGTCCTGAAACTCACTCTGTAGACCAGGTTTACCTGCCTCTGTCTCCTATGTGCTGGGATGCTGGGATTAAAGGCATATGGTACCACTGCCTGGCCCATTTGTGTATGATGTGTATGCAGGTACCCAAGGAAGCCAGAAAAGGACATCAGATCCCCTAGAGTTGGAGTCAGTATGAGCCATTATGAGCCATTGCACGTGGGTGCTAGGAATTGAACTTGGGTCTGTAGAAGAGCAGTGAGTCCTCTTATCCACTGAGCCACCTCACCAGCCCTTATATTATTTTTAATTATGTGTGTCTGAATGTGGGTATATGCATGAGTGTGCATGCTCACAGAGGCCAGAGGAGGACATTGGATCCCCTGGAACTGGAGTTAGAGGCAGTTGTGAGCTGATGTAGTAGGTGCTAGTAGAACCTGACGTCAGGTCCTCTGGAAGAGCTCTTAAGCACTGAGCCATCCATTTCTCAGTGATTTGGGGGTTTTCCGTTATTTCATTTTAAAACTTTTACTACACTTATTTTGTACTTATGGGTGTATGTAGGTGCAATGTCATGGCATATGGGTTCAGGCTAGAGGACAACTTGTGGGGACTCACTTCTCTCCCTCAACCATGTGGGTCTCAAGGATTGAACTCAGGTCTTGAGGCTTGGTAGCAAGTGCCTTTACTCACCGAGCCATCCTGCTAACCCTTAAATTTTATTTATTTTCAGTATCTGTGTGTGTGTCTTCCACTTATATGTGTGTCTATGTCTCCGTGTATGCCTCTCTGTGTAACTCTGTGTGTGTGCAGAGTCCAGCTCAGCTCCAACAGGGTTCAGGACCCAAAGACGAGAGCTGTGGAGCTGGCCGGGGAAGGAGACTGGCATGATCCAAGGGTGAATCGGGATGGTTGCCTGTTTGTTGGAAACAGGCTACACCTTATTATATTCTTTATAATTGCATTATTCTTTAACTACAAGCAATACTGAAAGCAGACTTCAATGTCATTACAGTATTTTCCCTGAAGCAAAAAAGCAGGAAGCTGAACAAGAATCTAAATGCCTACTGTTCTCTAAGGTTCTATAACCACACCAGGAGGCCTTTTACACTTCTTCCTTCGTGGTCAGGAGGTGTCAGACATTGAGTCTAGACAAACAACCAACCCGAAGTGTTGCTGGAGTTAGCAACTTTCATTCTTCAAACAGCATGAGGCAGTGTTTGTACTTTGTAGCACAAGAAGCACTGAGCTGTTCGCTAATTGCATTCCTTTGTTCCTTAGTCTTCTTAATATGGACTTGTTACCCTCTTAAGCTCCCAAAGAGAAGGTCCTGACTCTTTTTCCATTTCACCATACCATCCTGATTCCTTCCATGTGTGCTCCTGAGTATGGCAAAGGGGGACCGAGCCAGTCTAACATCTTAATGGCATTTATTCCCTACGGGGCAGACCAGATCTTGCCATTCATCCAGTAAGCTACAAATGCTGGGTACTAGTCTATACTCATTAACTGAACTCATGCCCTAAGTGACCCCAGGCTCTAAATCTGGGCCCATTGTTTCTCTGCATTGTGTTTTTCATCCCTGGGACCAGGCATGCCCAATTAGAAACTTCTCTATTCCTGGTGTGATTTGGGAGTCCTGTATTGAGAGTTAACAGTTATCAGGATATATAGTTCCACAGTGGTGGGGATTCTCCCCAAAGAGTTATTTTGTTTAAAGACATTGCCACTAACCTAGCAATGGTGGTGCATGACTTTAATCCTAGCACTTGGGAGGCAGAGGCAGGCAGATCTCTATGAGACCAGCCTGGTCTACAAAAGCTAGTTCCAGGACAGGCTCCAAAGCCTCAGAGAAACCCTGTCTCCAAGAAAACAAAAAAAAAGCAAGAGACTGGCACTGTATATATTCTCATCCTACAACAAAGTTCACACAAAATTCCCAAAGGAAAAGGCATAAGGGACTTCTGTAACACAGTGAGAATCATTAAGTAGCAAAAAGACAGCAGAACTTTGTCAAGCAGCAATGGTCGCCATGTGGTCCATGCCGTGTGTGTCTCTCTGTCCTTGTCCCTGCCTCACCCTTTTCCCAAGACAGGGTTTCCCTGTGTAACCCTAGTAGTCCTAGGATTCACTCTAAACCAGGCTGGCTTGCAACTCAAGAGATCCCCCTGCCTCCGCCTCCAAGTGGGATTCTGAGGACTCAAATTCAAGTGCCAGGCTTATTTTATTTTAGCTTGTTTTTTGAGACATGGCTTCACTGTAGCTTTGGAGGCTGTCCCAAGAACCGGGCTGGTCTCAAACTCAGAGATCTGCCTGCCGAGTGCTCACATCAAAGGTGTGCGCCACCACTCCCCAGCAAGTGTCAGACTTGGGTAGCCAACTAATTTCACATGCTGAGCTATCCCATTGACCCTACTTTTGTTTTTGAGACAGTCATGTAGCCCAAGTTGGTCTCCAACTCAATATGTAGAGAAAAATGATACTGAACCTCTGATCTTCCAGCCTCCCCCTCCCAAGTGCTGAAATTACAGGCATGCACCACAATGTCCGGCTAGTTTGACAGGGTCTCAGTCAGTCCTCCTGCCTCAGTTTCCCTGGTGTTGGGATTTCAAGTGTGAGTCACCATGACCACCAGTCAAAGATTTTGTTGCCTCCCACCCAGGCCCTCAGACAGACATCCAGGAAATTTGTGGGAATGTTTTTGGTCGTCACACCCGGAAAGCAGTTGATACTACTGACACCTAGTGGCAACAAATGGGAGATGCTTTCACTTGGCCCATATAGGCAAGGTGGTTCCTGCCAAACATAGATGGTCTCTAAATACTCAGTGGGTCCATACAAGGTGGATCCCCAAACATGAGGGTGATTCCCTATAACAAAGAAAAAGATCCAATAGTGCAAGATCTTGGCTCTACGCTTAAATAATTTTCACTGATACTAAACTGGGGCTCATGATATGGAGAGTCTGTTATTAAAAACCTTTCAGCAGGCGGTGGTGGCGCATGCCTTTAATCCCAGCAGAGGCAGGAAGATAGTTCTCTGTGAGGGTGAGAGCAGCCTGATCTACATAGTGAGTTCCAGGACAGCCAGAGCTACACAGTGAGGCCCTGTCTCAAAACAGAAACCTAGAAAGTTAGGAAGAAGACATAATAGATAACTAAAAGAATTCTCTCCAAAGTCAAACATGATACCTCACATGGCTGTACTCCAGTTGGGAGTTAAGGGACAGGCAATCTGGAGTTCAAGGTCATCCTCATGGCCACAACAAATTCAGGGCCAGCCTGGGCTACAGGAGACCCGACACCCCTCTCCCAATGTGTGTGTGCACACACGAATAATCTAAGACTGTCGGGGTTTGAGATAAACTTGAAAACAGCAAAGAGGAAAGAAATTATCTATAAAAGCCTAAGGTGCTTTCCTGAGCTGTTAAATGAATTTCCTTGTGTCAACCATAATGACTATGACTATGAGGACTAAACTGCACATGGGTCTTTACACAGACAGGCGGGGAACACACTTCCGGACGTCTACGGTGCATACCTCTCAGCAGCCGTCTGCACCAATCCAAACCTGATCGAGCTGGCCTTGTACCGCAATGCCTTGGGCAGCCGGGGCGTGCGGCTGCTCTGCCAAGGCCTCAGACATGCCAACTGCAAGCTTCAGAACCTGAGGTGAGCCCCCTCCACCCTCTCCCAGAACGTCGGATCTGTTTGCCACAGCTCCGGTGCCGGTATGTAACAATGCAGGGGCCGCCATTTCTTCTACCTGTGAGAGGGCTGTAGCGATCAAATTGTGCATTGTCAGGCTTGCACAGCTTGTACCTGCTGAGTCATCATCAGCACACCACTTTTATTTTTCATCAAGACAGTTTTTCTGTGTAGCCCTGGTTGTCCTGGTACTTATTTTGTACACCAGGCTGGCTTTGAACTCAGATCCGCCTACCTCTGCCTCCTGAGCACTGGTATTAAAGATATGTGCCACCACTGCCTTTAAATAGCCCTTTTTAAAATATTTATTATGGTTATTGTTTTATGTATGTCTGCACATGAGGGCAGAGGGGTATGAGACCGTGTGAAACTAGAGTTACAGGCTGTTGTGGGCTGCCTAACATGAGTACTAGAAATCAAACTCGGGTCCTCTGCATATATGCTCATAACCACCGAGCCTTCTCTCCAGTCCCACAGCTTATATTTTGAACAAGCTTTTAAACTGAAGCCAGAGCATTACGCTGGAATCCACTTGCCTCTGCCTTCTAGGTGCTAGTCAGGGGTTCTACCACTGAGCCACACTCCCAGCTTCTCACTGGGGGATTCTAGGCAGGGGCTCTACCACTGAGCCACACCCAGATTTGTTTTTCTTGAGTGCTGGGAATAGAACACAGGTCTCTACTGCACCATCTATCCAGCTCCCATAACATTTTTATGATTTTGTTTTTCAATACAGAATCTCACTGTAGCCTTGGCTATCCTGGAACAACAACTCAATCAACAAAAACCATACTACACCATTACCTTCCAAGCCTTAACAGCCATCACCTCCTTTATCTCCCTCCCTTTCTAGGTTTATTGTGTATATAGTATTCCGTTTGCATGTATCCCTGCACACCAGAAGAGGGCACCAGATCTCATTATAAGTGGTTATGAACCACCATGTGATTATGTGGTTCCTGGAAATGAAACTCAGGACTTCAGTGCTCTTTACCTGTGAGCCATCTCTCCAGCCCTCTTTAGTTGTTTTTGTTTTTTGGGTGTTTTTTGTTTGTTTGGTTTTTGTCCAGAGTATAGAATTTGAGAGCTCTGCCACTGAGCTAGAAACTTCATGTCAGATAAAAGGCAGAAACTACTCACATACAGTGGCTCACAAATTTAATCCCAGCACTCAGAAGACAGAGGCAGGTGGATCTCTGAGTTCGAGGCCAGCCTGGTCTACAGAGCTACATCCAGGACAGCCAGTGTTACACAGATAAACAATGGAGAGAGACACAATGGCAGGGACCTAAATGTAAGCAGAGAATTCCAGAACAGCTACCAGATAACTTGCTTCTGCCTCCCTTCTCACCTCAGGCTGAAGCGGTGTCAGATCGCTGGATCAGCCTGTCAGGATCTTGCAGCAGCTCTCATCGCCAACAGGAATTTAATCAGGCTGGACCTCAGTGGCAACAGCATTGGGGTGCCAGGCCTGGAGCTGCTTTGCAAGGGGCTGCGGCACCCGGGGTGTAGGCTGCAGATGATCCAGTGAGTGCTCCCTTTCCTCCAGCATGTTAATTGTATTACTGGAATTCAGTGTCTCATCCCCCAACCCACCCCTGCTCTGTTTATTAAGACAGGGTCTCATGTAGGCCAGGCTAACCTCAAACTTGCTATGTAGAATAGGTTGGCCTTGAAAAAAGCTTCACTAAAAAAAGGTATATAGATTTTGTTTAACCTAGATCTTGATCTTTTTATTTTTGTTTTAATTAATTAGCTTTTTCAAGACAAGTTTTCTCTGTGTTAACAGTCTAAAACTCACTTTATAGACCAGGCTGGCCTTGAACTCAGAGATCCTCTGCCTCCTGAGTGCTGGGATTCCAAGCATGGAACACCTTCGACCAGGGTTGGGGTTTTGGTCTTTTGAGATAGGTATGACTATATAGCTGTTGCTATCCTAGAACTTGCTATATAGACCATGCTGGCCTCGAACTCAGAGATGTGTGCCTCTGCCTCCAGGGTGCAGAGATTAAAGGGCTGCATGATCACACCCAGCCCCAATAGATTTCTTTGAAAGTCATTTGAAGCCAGGTGTGGTGATGCACACCTGTAATCCCAGCTCTTGGGAGGCAGAGGTGGATCTCTGTGAGTTCAAGACCAGCCTCGTCTCCTTAGACCCTGTCTCAATAAACAAAACCCAACTACGTAGGAAAGAGAAAGGACTACTAGGTTCATGTTAGGTGACTTAACAGGGCAGGACGTATAGGTTAGGACCCGGCAACCTGTTCATTGTCTCCCAGGCTGAGAAAGTGCCAGTTACAGGCTGCAGCTGGTGGACAGATTGCCTCTGTTCTTTGCAACAACTCACATCTGGTGGAGCTGGACCTGACTGGAAACCCCCTGGAGGATTTGGGACTGAAGTTGTTGTGTCAAGGGCTGAGGCACCCGGCCTGCAAGCTGCGCACTTTATGGTGAGTTCTTCACAGACTGACTCGGGGTCAATCAATAGGAATCAAAGTAGAAATGCCTCTGAATTTGGGAGGCTGAGACAAGAATATTGCCAGTAGGGAGTTCTTCAGTATCTTAGCATCTTTTTGTGTGTTTTCTGTGTAACCACCCTGACTGTCCTAGAACTCACTCTATAGACCAGGCTGGCCTCGAACTCAGATATCTGCCTGCCTCTGCCTCCCAGAGTGTTGAGATTAAAGGTGTGTAACCACCACTGCCTGTTCTTAGAGGCTCACTTAAACGTGAAGTAAAAGGGAACTAGAGAAATGGCTTAGTGGTTAAGAGCACTTGTTATTCTTACAAGAGGACCTTGGTTCAGTTCCCAGCACCCACATGGCGGTCATGACTGTAAAGTCACAGGGGATCCAACACTCTTGGTTACCACAGGCACAGGCATATATAGTGCTCAGATATACATGAAGGCAAAGCTTTCATAAATGATATGTAGTTTTCTTTGGTTGGATTTTTTGGTGTTTCGGGACAGGATTTCTCTGTGTAGCAGCCCTAGCTGTCCTGGATCTAGCTCTGGAGACCAGACTGGCCTCAAACTCAAGAGATCCACCTGCCTCTGCTTCCCAAGTGCTGAGTGTAAAGGTGTGGGCCGCCGCCACCACCACCGGTCTAAAATGTTATGTATTTTTTATTTCATGAGCATTGGTGTTTTGCCTGCATGTTATGTTGTATGAGGGTGCTGGATCCCCTGGAATTGGAGTTGCATATAGCTTTTTTTTTTTTTTAAGTCTTTGGAGGCCTGCCACCCATCTCACAAATAAATGCTCAGAGGTTAAAAGCACTGACCGCTCTTCCAAGGTCCTGAGTTCAATTCCCAGCAACCACATGGTGGCTCACAGCCATCTATGATATCTGGTGCCCTCTGGGGGGGGGGGGAGAGAAAGGATTTGATAGCAGGGGTCAGAAAGATGTCGAAACAGCAGATAAAGGCATTGGCCATCAAAGCTGGTGATAAAGTTCAACCCCCTGAGGAAGTTCTACCATTACTGAGGAAGGAAAAACATGATCTCCACATATATAACCCCCAACTGCTAGAACCAAAGGCTTGAGACATATGCCAATCTTGTTTTTGTTTCAGCCAATAGTTAAGTCTTACCAAAACACATCTGTAGGGGCTAGTGAGATGGTTCATTGGGTAAAGAAAGGGACCTGACACCCTGAGTTTAGTGCCTGGTGCCCACACTGTGAAAGCAGAGACGCTTGCAAGCTGACCTGGAACAATGCCCACGATGGTCTCCTGAATCAATTAGCCATCAAGAAAAGGGGCTGGAGGGATGGCTCAGTGCTGAAGAGCTCTTATTGCTGTGCATGTACACAGGTATATCCCACAAAATACTCGTTGAGACAGGGTCTCATTGTGCATCTGTGACTAACCTGGAATTTAATATGAAGACCAGGTTGGCCTGGAACTCAGATCAGCCTGCTGCCTCCTCAGTGCTGGGATTAAAGGTATGTGCCACTATGCCAAGCTCACACAAACTAATCTTTAAGTATAACTTGAAAATGATGTATATATGTAATCACATATGTGTAATATATAGGCATCTTGAACAGGATTTTTGTTTGTTCATGTTTAGATAGGGTTTCCCCATGTAGTCCTGGATATTCTGTAGATGAGACTTGTCTTGAACTCACAGAGATGTGACTGCCTCCGCCTCCAGAGTGCTGGGGTTAAAGGCGTTTGCCACCATTGCCAGGCCTTGAAGTTTTTTTGCTTTTGTGTTCTTGATGTTTGAGGAGTGGGGGATGCTGAGAATCGAACCCAGGGACCTTGCTCACACCAGGCAAGAACCCTACTACTGAGCCACACCCACAGCCCCTGGCTTACTATACCCAGACTACTTTCTAATGGAACATCCACCATTAGAGGTCTTCCAGGTGCTTGTGGGTATCAAAGGTGTGTGCTATACAGCTTCCTGAGAACACTGAACTCTGAAGACAGGGGACTGAGGATAGATTCAATGTCCCCAGGAAAACCACCCCCACCATCATGCTTACTGAGCTGGCTTTTATACAGGCTGAAGATCTGCCACTTCGGACAGGCTGCCTGTGAAGGTCTAGCCTCCAGCCTCAGCATGAACCAGACCCTGATGGAGCTAGACCTGGGCCTGAATGACCTTGGGGATCCTGGGGTGCTTCTGCTGTGTGAGGGCCTCAAGCACCCAGATTGCAAGCTCCAGACCCTCCGGTGAGTGGGGCTTCCAATCAGCATGCTTACCCTGTCTTCTCTTCCACGGAGGCCACGGGGCCTCCCATTTCCCCCAGCAGCTCTAGCTACAGAATCTTGCTGTCAAGATTTCCTGGCACACCCACACCCCTGAAATTGCCTTTCTGTTCTGCTGTACATTTAATTTCCAGAAGAGGTGCTGGAGAGATGGCTCAACGGCTAAGAGCACTGGCTGCTTTTCCAGAGGTTGAGAGTTTAATTCCTAGCAACCACATGGTGGCTTTCACAACCAACCATCTATGATGATATCTGGTGCCCTCTGCTAGCATGTAAACACACATATATACAGGGAGATCTATAAGAGACATTAAAATTTCAGGTCGCAGAACAAATACCACTAACCAAAGTGTACCCTCTGTTTTAGTTGGCTTTCTGTTACTGTGATAACCGGCATGACGAAAGGCGACTCTACAAGGCAAGGGCTTATTTTACCCTACAGGTTATAGTTTGTCATTCACGGAGGGAAACCAAGGCAGAAGCTTGAAGCAGAAAAAAACATACAGAATGCTCCTTACTAGCTGGTTCCCTGTGACTTGCTCTGCCAGCTGCTTTTATACAGTACAGACCTATTAGGCCTGGGATACCGGCTCCTGCATCAACTAACCATCAAGGATACTCTTCCACAGGACCTGGGTTCAATTCCCAGCACCCACATGGGAGCTTATAACTGCCAGCAACTCCCCTTTCAAGGGATCCAACACCTTCACACAGACATACACACAGGCAGAACACAAACTGCACATGGAATGAAAATAAGTTGTTTAAAAAAAAAAAAAGGAAGCTGGGCATTGGTGGTGCAGACCTTTAGTCCCAGCACTTGGGAGGCAGAGGCAGGTGGATCTCTGAGTTTGAGGCCAGCCTAGTCTACCGAGCAAGTTGCAGGTCAGGTTCACAAAAACCAAAAACGAATTTATAAATTAAAAAAAGAGGAAACCCTGTAGGACACATTTAATCACAGCACTGGGGAGGGCGGGCTACACAGAATACATGTTGAAAAACCACACTCACACAAAAAGGGGGGAGATAATCTTTAATAAAATACAGATTTTTATTCATGTGCATGTGCCTGTGTGAGTGTATGTGCATGTTTGTGCCCAAAGAAAGGTCTCACATCCTGTGTCATGTGCTCCCTAACAAGGGTACCGAGAAAGGAACTGAGGTTCTCGATATAATGAACCTTAACCTTAAACACTGAGCCACCATTCCAGCAACATGATCCCATCCTTTTTTTGAGACCGAGTTTTCATGTAGCCCAGGCTGACCTCAAACTTACTATGTAGCTCAGGACAACCTTCAACACACATGCGCCCAATGATCAGGACGGCGCCTAGTACTTTCTGTATGGTAAGCAGATTCCATCCAACCGCCACCTCCCCTCCCCAACCCCCTTGGTTTTTCAACAGGGTTTCTCTGTGCAACCGCCCTGTGTAACTAGCTCTGTAGGCCAAGCCAGCCTCCAACTCAGATCTGCCTGCCTCTGCCTCCCAAGTGCTGGCTTTTTGCCTGCGTGTATGCTTTTGACCAAGTGCATGCCTGGTACGGATAGGGTTCAGAAGACAAATTTAGGTTGCCCTAGGCTGAAGTTAAGCCAGTTGTGAGCCGCCTGGCCCTTGCTTTCTGTCCTGTCTTCCTCTGCCTTCTCTTTTCTATCTCAAAGGTTGGCAAAGCCACACCCCTGCACCCAGCATACAATTTTGGCATTTGAACCCAGCTCCAGTGACATGATCGAAAGACATGGGGCAAACTCAGCTTGGCCATCCCTTCCTCTAGGTTGGGCATTTGCCGGATGGGCTCAGACTCATGCGCAGGGATTGCCCGTGTGCTCCAAGTCAACTCTTGCCTTCGAGAACTGGACCTGAGTTTCAATGATGTAGGAGACAGGGGCCTGCGGCTGCTGGGGGAAGGGCTGCAGCACCCAGCCTGCAGACTCCAGAAGCTGTGGTGAGTGTTTCCCTTAGGAAGAGGGGGAAACTCAGGCCTACCTCAGCTTTAGTATCAGGCCAGCCTGGGATATCAGAGATGATACTTTAAAAAAAAAAAAGCTGGCTGTTCTTATTGTAAATGCAGGGAGCAGGGAACACATCAACTTAGCTGAGCCACAGAGTAATGGCTTGAGCCCTTAACCCCAGCACCCGGAAGGCAGAGGCAGGAGAATCTGAATTCCATGCCAGCCTGATCTACACAGCAAGTTTCAGGACAGGCTCCAAAAGTTAGAGAAACCAAAGAAAATGGTCTCAGGTCCTGCTCCAGCTAGGCTACCATGCTAACCACTTCTGCCATGGTTCCCCGTATCAGTTGAGACAGAAAAGAACCCCCATCCTCCATAAAGCATCCCCCATCTCTCACACACGAGAGGTAACAATTTTGGGGGTGTTTAGAAGCTTCATGGGGGGAAAGGCGTTTATTAATTTGTGTAACTAAAAGAACCATCTTCAGGCATGGCTTCATTGGGCATTTTCCATTCCCCTGTGTGTCTGCATCAGCCTGAGGACAGAAGATGGCATCAGATGTCCAGGACTATCTGTTACAGGACGTTGTAAACCAACTGGGTGCAGAAAACCAAACTTGGCTCCTCTAGAAGAGCAGCCTTAACCACTGAGCCATCTCTCCAGCCCCTGCTTATGTGATCTGGGGATTCTATAACCTGTTAATATCCTTGCTACAAACTCAGACTGAACTTGCTTCAACACAGAGCTACATGTCCCTATCCACATGTCCCCTTCCTCCCTTATCCCCAGAGAGGTTTCTCTATGTATCCTGCCCTAACCTGGAACTCACTCTGTAGCCCAGGTTGGCATTGAACACAGAAACCTGCCTCCCTCTGCTGGGGAAGACAGTATCAGCCACCATGTCTAGCCTTCCAAACCCACATCCTTACCAAGCTGCAGGCATTGGACTCATTGTTTAGAGATGTGTTCTCTAGGGACAGAAGCCCTGAGGGCTGGAGCCATCCCTAACTCTACTGTTCCAGGCCAATTTGGCCCCAGGTTAAAACTGACGAACAATTAACCTCAGAAAGCAGTCAATGACCCTTGGCTTTATCCACAAAGGGGATCCAGTCACATTACTGTAACTTGTATTATTTTCTGTCCCCAACTCCTCCCTGCACCCCAAATGGTTAGTTATTCTGTGTAGCCCTGATTGTCTTAGGACTCACAGGGAGCCTGGAACATAGAGATCCAGCTGCCTCTGGTAAACAAGTCAAACTAATCAGGGTTGGCTGTGTGACCATGGCAGGGAGACTATTTGCCGAGGGCTACTACACCAGTCTCTAAGGAGGTGTCCAGCAACCACTGGATGGGCTCATGACTGTCTCCTTTAAATCCTGTCACCTGTAAAATCATCAGTGCAACTCCCTGAAAAGACCACCACATCCACCTCAGCTTGTCCTCTGCAGGTTGGACAGCTGTGGCCTCACAGCTAAAGCAGGTGAGGAGCTTTCTTCCATCCTGGGATCCAACCAGACGCTGACTGAGCTTTATGTGACCAACAATACTCTGGGGGACACAGGTGTCCGGCTGCTGTGCAGGAGGTTGAGACATCCAGGCTGCAAACTTCGAGTCCTGTGGTGAGGAGTGGACCCTGATTTCTTGGGGAGAATGGGGGATTCGGGAAGGCTGGTCTCAGATTTGGGGGTAGGACCACTAAATAATTGAGATGTATTAAACACTCAATGAGTAATTCTGGAGAGACAGCTCCATAGTTAAAAAGCACCAAGTGATCTTACAGAGAGGACCTGAGTTCAATTCCCAGTAACAGCAGCAGGGGGCCACATCCCCCTGTAATTCCAGCTCCCAGAAGTCCAACAGTTTAGACAGATGAGGTTGGGAGTAAGGAGCCCAGAGTGGTTGGAAACATATGTGATCCAACAATTCCAGGCCAGGCAAGGCTGCCAAGATACCTTGTCTGCAACAAGGCAAACAGAAAATTGGGTGTGAGGAATATGGAGAGGTGGCTCGGTGGTTGAGAATACTGGCTATTCTTCCAAAGGACCTGGGTTCATTGCTCATCACTAGCATGTCACTTCCCAACTGGCTGTAACTCCTGTTCCAATAGATCTGGCATCCTCATGCAGGCAAAATCCACCATGGTACATAAAGAAATCTTTGCATTGTTGCTATGTGTTGGTGATGTCTTTAATGCAATACTCCAGAGGCAGAGGCAGGCATGTTTCTGCAACTTACAGGCCAGCCTGCTCTATAGAGCTGGACTCGGGACAGCCTGGCTACAGAGAAATCCTATCAAAAACAAGCTAAGTAAACCTACAAAAAACAAAAAACCCGAACAAGCCAGGGGCAGTGGTGGCTCACGCCTTTAATCCCAGCAGCACTTGGGAGGCAGAGGCAGGTGGATCTCTGAGTTCAAGGCCAGCCTGGAATACAAGAGGGAGTTCCAGGACAGTTTCCACAGAGCCACACAGGGAAACCCTGTCTTGGACAAAAAAAAAAAAAAAACCAAAGCATGAAACAAAACCAACAGAGCAAGAGAGATTTTCATGATTAGTTATGCTTATGTTATGTATGGTGAACACCTGCATTCTGGTGATATTGGCCAGAAAAGGACACGGATCTCTTGGAACTGGACTTAAAAAATGGTTGTGTGTGAACCCTGACCCTGTGCCAGAGCAGGAAGCACTCACTCCATACAGGCCCAAGGATTAGAGACAGGGTGTCAGGATGCTGCCTTTTTTCTCACCATAGTGAAGAGTCCCATGCTTTGTCCCCAGGCTGTTTGGAATGGACCTGAACAAAATGACCCACAGGAGGCTGGCAGCACTTCGACTCACAAAACCATACTTGGATATTGGGTGCTGAGCTGAGCTGGGGCATCAGAATGGAGGCCCCCCAGGACCTTTATTCCCTCAGACAGCTGGGATCCAGCGGCTGAGAGACAGAACTTTGTGTGTTTAGTTTCTCAGGGTGATAGTCATGCCTGTGCTGGAAATCACTTTGTGTTGTAACCCATCCTTGTGGGGCTTCAGTTGGATCCAGCAGACTTGCCTGCTTCCTACTGGAGAGGGTGAATGTGGATTGAGAAAGGGCAGGTGAAGACACCTTAAGAAAAAGACAATGACCAGGATAAAGTCAGGAGTGCAATCTACTGGACACCCCAAGTTTGTTCTTCGGCATTATATACCCCATCCAAAAAGGGGTACATGGCAAAAGACTTCTTTATCGTGTGTAAGGAAAAAAAAAAAAAAAAAAAAAAAAACAGACTTTCTACCTTAATTCTCCAAACATTTGGCAACCACACCCTAGACTCAACTGCTCCTTATCTGACCTTGAGGGTCAAGGGTAACCATACCTCAGACAAAGTCTGCCATTTAGAGAAGATATCCACTACCAAGATCGAGCATCCTACAATAAACCAGCCAGGCCTTAGACCTTTAGGCCTCATGACTTTAACCTTGGAAGACTCAGGACAGTTTTAATGCTCTGACCTTAAGCAAAGATGAAGCAGAGCCATCTTTATGGGCCCTGACAACTTTGTACACCAGGCTGTCGTAGAACTCATTCCATCCTCCTGCATTTGCCTCCCAAGTGCTGGGATTAAGGACCAGCCTCTGCCAGATGGGTGTAGTCAAGAGGATTAGGAACTCAAGGTCATCCTGGGAATCAGAAACCAGAGGGGGCTCCTGTCTTGGGGCTGGAGGCCCAGAAAGTGCAGGTTGAGGGAAATGTTTGCTGTGCTTGAGCCATAAACACTCAAGCTTTCAGGAGCTCTTTGGATTTGATGTGAACTCCATGCAGATCATTTTAGCATGGGGAATGGCTGGTCAAGAATTTTAAAGCCAGTAATAAGAGAACAGGGAGACACAGAATTTGGCATACTGGATTTTTCAGCTGCTCACTGGGCCAAGACTCCCATCTACTGGCCGCAGTCTGAAACTACAGGTTAAAAAGGGCACTTACTCCACTTACTTGGAGATGGTGGGGGTTGTTAGAGACAAGGTTTTTGTGTAGCCTTGGCTAACCTGAACTTGCTCTGTAGACCCACAAATATTTGTATACAGTACAAACTTTCCTGAGGCTATTCAAGAACTAGCAAGCAATAACCCATAATCCTTGCAGATATATGGACGGGTGGCCCACACTTCCCTGGCTAGGTGTCCCAGTCAATACATGTTATTTTCATCTATTTTTCTACTTCATGTGCCAACTAGAACAGAAACACAAAAGATCCAAAGTGGGCTGGGGCTGTAGGTGCAAGGTTGCAGAGGCCTTAGATGAAGTAAGACCCAGGATTGTTTGTATCTTCTACCCACACAAATGAGGCTTAAGTGGAATGGGCTGCACATCTAGATCAGCTTCAAGATACACTGCCTTGCTAGCATGCATGAAACCCAGGACTCTCTTCTGTCCTTAGGAGCTATATAGACTGCATGCCAATGGTTAACTAACGTCAGGGATGAAAAAAATGTTTACAAGGACTGTGCATGGTGGCTAATGCTTTATGAGATGAAGGCAGGTCACTGAAGACCAGGCAGAGATAAACAGGGAAGCCCAGGCTAAAAGCAATTGGCAAAGGGAGACAGATTTGAGGGAAGGCAGGTTTGACTTCCTGTAACTGCAGGAGAGCTTATCTTATAGCCATGCTAGCTCCAGGCATCAGTATACTAATGGTTAAGGGCAGAAACTTGTGAAGGAGCCTGCCACTAAGCACAGGAACCAACATGTTTGGCAAATGACCTATGACATGGATAGTAAACATGCACAGGCAGCACCAAGTTTAAAAATGTAGCCAAATATTGTCACACCGGTAAGAGTTAAAACCCAAGAAGAAGTCAGGTCAACCTGTACCATCCCTCCACCCCACCCAGGAAAAAAAAAAAAAAAAAAAAAAAAAAAAACCTTGATGTAGTGGCACATACCTAACTTAATCCCAGAAGCAGCAAGATCTGTGCATCTGGTGGGCAGGAATTCCAGGATAAACACCGTTTTAAAGAGCACCTCATAGTCAGGCAGTGGTGGCACACACCTTTTATCCCAGCACTTGGGAGGCAGAGGCAGGTGGATCTCTGTGCCGTTTCAGGCCAGCCTGGTCTACGGAGTTCCAACAGGGAATCCAATGTTACAGAGAAACCTTATCTGAAAAAAGCAAAATAATAAAAAATAAAATTTACCTGTAGTTCAAACTCAGTCTGTTCAAACAGCATGTCAAGTGTCAACGGTGGTTTGGAATGTAGCTCAGTGATCTTTTCTCCACGTTTTTCACTGTGCAGAAGCATTCTAAAGCTTTATCACTACTTCAAACCCGGAGCATTCATTGGTTACCGTATAAACTTACAGACTAAACATGAGAACCTCTTGGAATCTAAGCTTACAGGGCTGCAAGGCAAACTGGCCCTTCAAGTTACAAACAAAATCCCTGGGGTAGAAAGTTACCTCAGCTTATGAGGAAAAGCAAACCACTACCATGGTATCGTATCCTCAAGGAAGGAGACTGGCGAGCTGGAACCAGGCTTCCCTAGCTAAGATGGGCAGGAAGGGAAGGACGGCCCCACAAAGGGAGTGACCCAGACCTCATGGAACTGCATAGAATCAAAATCCACTCAGCTGCTAATGGAAGCTGTTAGTCTGCAGCCAGACCTAGTTAGAAAAATCTGCCTCAAACTGGGCCCTTGACATGACCAGCAGACTAAGGCGCTCTCAAACACCCATTATGGCTGAGGTACCATCCCTGTGAAGTCACATGGAAGGGATCAACTAAGATACTCCAACACTGTCACAAGCAGTTAATAGAAAACTGAAGCAAAGTGCCAAGATAACAAGACTATCTTTAATGTGACAAAATTGCCGACATTGCCAACTGATTAGGAAAAAAGTGGGCTTGTTATTAGAATTGAAAGTTGACCAAGAGCCGGACATTGGTGACACAGCCTTTAATCCCAGCACTTCGGAGGCAGAGGCAGCCTGGCCTACAGAGCTAGTTCCAGGACAGGCTCCAAAGCCTCAGAAACCCTGTCTCAAAAATAGGAAGTGGTTCAGTGGAACACGGCCTGAGTTCAATTCCCAGCCCCTCACAACCAGATTATCAGATTCTGGATTCTGCATGCTCATGCTGCAGACACCATAAACTAACAACTCAAATGTTTAACCCTGGCTAACCCTGACACTGACCAGGTCTCAGGTGGTGTTACTTAAACCCCCAAGAAGCCTGGAGTTGCCACTGTAGCTTCAACTGGTTATTAACTCTCCTCCACCTAAAGCATGGACACTGAGTAAACCTCAGGTCTAGGGAAGGAACTGAAGACTTCTCAGGGATAGTGAGTGGTGCCCCCAGGACACTCAAATGGTGTAGCACTTTCTCCACAGTGTGCCACATTTGAGTGTTCCCTAGTGAGCAATTCCTGGTGCACACAAGTTCCAGGGTACACACAAAATGGGAGCACCTTCCACTTTAAGGCCAGGAGAGGGCCTCCATTTTGAGTATGGCTATCTGGGACTTCACAAGATGGAGCCGGGCCTGCAACATGAATTATAGTCCAAAGAATGGTCAATGGGCCTGGGAAGATAGCTCAGTGGGTGAAGGGGCTTGAGGTGACAAATTCAATCCCCCTCCCCCCAACCAACCCCAGGAAGGTGATAAACTATTCTGAGAGAAACCACAGGAAAACTCAGGAATCTAAGACTGCAGCCACAACATTGATCATAGTATCTGAGGCTGATTACATGAAAAGCAGATACTAAAACCAGTGTTTATTAAATGGTTAGGAAGGTAGAGAGGACTCACCACCCCCTTCTTAAAGGTACCTTCTGTGCACAGAAGGCAGCTGGTCTCCTGTCTGCACCTCAGGCTTTAGTTATTGCCCCATAGGATCTTCCTCCCCACACTCTTCATCATTCACTCCCCTGCAAGTTTCACTGTGCACAGTAAATCTCATAAGGACGAGCCCCTCCCCACTGGAAGGCAGGAATGGTACCCATAGACAACACCCAATTCTTGCAACACTTTCCACTTTAGACATAAGATGCTGCGGCATTCTCTCAGTCGGCCACAGTCAAACATGGTGGACTTCTTTTTAAGATCAAGAAGTTTCACCGATGTTTGATTAGCGCAGATTGAGGTCTCAAAGGAGCTGTGTAAGGCGACTATAGAAAAGCTGTTAGGGATTAAGGAAAATTCATCACTTAATTAGCCAGGCTTGCTGACGATGTTGGATGCAAGCAAGCCTAGTGCACAAGGCAAGCTAAGCTCTATGCCAGGCATGGAACTCACTGGGATCCTTGTGAAAGGCCTGAAAACAAATGAGAAAACAAGGTTTGTGCTTAGCATGGTGTACAACTTTTAATCCCAGCACTCTGGGGTTTTAAAGAGGGGAGGGTACACTGACTGATCTCCCTCCATGCTGCCCTCCCACTAAAAAGCCAAATTGTGTATAGGCATCCCTTCTTTGGCTTTCCAAAAGTCTGGCCTAGTACACAAAACCCAAGAGACTCTACACCCCCAAAACATGTCCATTATTTGCTAATGAGCCTATCACCACTAGCAATTTAAAGTGTAAAAGGCCTGGGAGCTTCGGTGGCAGAGGTAGGTAGGTCAAAGTCAAATAGAAACCCTGTCTTGAAAAACCAGAAGATGAGCCAGGCGTTGATGATGTATGTGCCTTTAGTCCCAGCACCTGAGGAGGCAGAGGCAGGTGGATCTCTTTGAGTTAGAGACCATCCTGGAACAAGAGCTAGTTCCAGGATAGCCTCCAAAGCCAGAGAAACCCTGTCTCGGAAAAAAAAAAAAAAAAAAAAAAAAAAAGTCTTACCACCCTCACCCTGCTATTTACCTGGGTTAGAATCTTTAATTCCTGGATCTTAAGTGCAGCATGAAAACTTCATAGCACCAGTGAAGTATCCAGTGGGAAGGAACTCACCTCCAGCCCCCAGCTAAGTAACTCCATACTGCAACTGGATGCTATTCAGGTTTCCAGGCCCCTCGTCCATACAGACAAAATGCATGCACTCTCTGTACAAGCCTCAGAGATGGCAGCCCCTGTATTACCTTAGGATGCCTTCACTCCCCTCATGTGGCCAGCTGCCACCAGAACCTAGTTTTTCAACTGTTAACAGTTTGTGTCAGTATTTCTCAATTGGTTAACACTCAAAACCTGGCAGCACTTCAACAAAACACAAAAAACAAAAAGGCCCCAGTTTTGAGTATCACAGGTTGAGAGTCCAAGATTAGTTCCTACAGGCCCTGCACATCTATTTAAGGCTTTGCCCGTGTGTTAAGGTGGGACATTTGCATAATAGACGCTGTACTGACACCTGGGTTCAAATATTCCTTTCACCTGACAACTTATAATCAATACCGTGACACACGTGCCCTAAACTAGCCTTCTTATAGCCAAGGGTAACCACCTTGAACCTATTGAAAGTATTTAAAAGCCCCCAGGGGGGGAAAAATGTTTCAACTGCCTCCTTAAAAGTCCAAGGCACAAACATTAACAATATCCCCATAACAATATCCCCATCACATCCGAACTGGTGCCGTCTTTTTAGTGGCCAGTGGCCATCCTTACTCTCCCACGTGTGACCTGAGAGCCTATGCCCAAAAGTTTCCAATGGGCTCAACTCAAGATGCTTGCCCCACACAGTGGCTTACAAAGTGGAAGTACTCTATAGCTCTGCCTCAGTGGCTCCTTAAAAGTCTCCTTAAAGCCTGGGCGCTTGTCGATTCCCCGGGTCTCTTCCAATATTGCTTCAGCTACTGGCTACTGTTGCGAGCCTGTCCTTCCCTAAACTTCCCATTCAACATTCCCCCCTCCATGCCCGAAGTCCCAGCTCCCAGGACCACTGCAGTTAACCCAGACGCGTGTTACCAAGAGACACATTGTAGCTTTCAAGCCCAAAGAGTGCCCCACACTAGAGCGTGCCAAATGAGCCACTAAGAACTGGGAAAATCGCCCTATTCTCAACCGGTAATGCTCGAAACCTGGCGGCACTTTATTCCAGACAAAAAGTGCCCCCACAGGATGAGGTGGTCCAGAGAGACGCACAAACCCGAAAAACTTTACCGCCAGAAAACTGAAGACGTTGGAGCAGCTCAATCCTCCGCGCCAAAAACCTGCATGATGTATGAAAATCGGGGGGTAATTTTTAGTACCTGGGAGCAAAACTGACCCAAGACCATTGATAATTGAGCTACTCCCAACGACTGAAATACAATTGCCTTGGAACCATGAACTCCTTCCAGCAAGTACTTCCACCTACGGTTTGTGTCATTCATAACCCCCTCACACACACTCCTAAATTCCTACCTCGTTGAAACTGTATAGACCTACCCGTAGGCAGGCCTCTGTCTCCTGAGATGTGGGACTAAACCCAGCTAGCTGACTGTAGGCCCAGGAGGCCGAATCCAGGGCTATATTGGTTTGAAATTCAAAACCAAGCTTGTCAGTACTGGTTCAAGGCTTTCTTTAATCCCAGCACTGACCGGGAAGGTTAGGCAGCGAGAACTGTGAGTTCGAAGCCAACATGGTCTACATAGCACTTTCCAGAGAAAACCCAAACTTCTAAACCCAGGCCTTGGTGGTCTGCAAGAAAGCAAATCTGAGTTACTCAGCCTGACCCACGTCCATGCCGCAAGTTGGTATTGGTATCCAAAACTGAGGAATACCAATAGCACCCCTACAATTAATTGCCTCTCAAAAACCAACGTCCTAGGCTTCAAAAACGTCTGAACAGAGAGAGAGAGAGAGTAAAGAAAAAATATACCTGTCGTACAGACAAAGCCGAACTCCAACGATGGCGCTGAAGACAGGCGCAAGCAGCCAGGCTCTGATCCAGTACAGTAGGAGCCTCTGATTGGGGGCGGAGAGGCT